CCCGTGGTCTTAATGTTACGGTGTTCGACTTTCATTCAATAGGTCCCGTGTTAAAAAAATCTGGCAGCGATGGCAAATTTTCTTCTCTAAAATTTTCTCTTTTCACTTCTCTTCCTGCTTTCTAACCATGTTCTGTAGTCTGCTTTCATCTCCACTTTCTGCCCCCCCCCCCTTTTTCCCCTTTGCCCCCTCCTCTGAGCTCCTGACTCTTTCTGCAAATTTCTATTGGTACCCCTTTTGGCTCCTTCTTACTACTGTCTTTCAGTCACACCCCTGATCTTATGGTAGATAAGATCAAACAACACCTAGCCTTTTCGGATTAGTGCAAACAACCTCGGAGGTCCCGTGTGCATGTTGCGCACGTTAAAGAACACATGTTGGTCCTTAAATCGAAAAGAGTAAGCTTCGACCGCCACCCAGGCAAAAGTTTAAAAATTCTATCAAACTAAAAAATGTTAATGTGTCACACGCACTCATATGACATTAATATGCAGTTTTGGCGCTGTAAAAACTTACCAAAACAAAACAAAAAGCTACTGACCGCGTTTTTTTAACAATGAACACCAAAATGAAAGTCCTGAAATGCTATGTTTCGTCAACCCTTCTATATGCTTGCCTACCTCCAGTACAAAAATATAATTGAACCTTTGAAAATATATCATCGCTAAAAGATTTCTCCTCAATTTAAGACAAAAGTGTGCACTGCCGGCAGCATGTCCATGCATAATATGTTATATTACCTAATTAGTTGTGTGTAACCCACACTACGGTGGTAGACAGAATCATTTGATTTTGATTCTGTTCTGTCACATTTTCTCTGACTTGGGCTCTAAATATTTGCAAAGCCCCAAGGGCTCTATACTGAGAGCGCGTTTATGTTATCAGGGAACAGCACGAGGTTTTCCAGATAAAGCAACAGAAAACATGAAAAGAGAATGTTCGCAAAGTTGAAAGAGAAAACATTTAATCCATATGTCGGTGCTCTGAAGGTGCGTAAAACGAATTTTCCATAGGCATCTATTCTTGTCTGTATGATTGCAGAATACGCAGGCAACGCAAAAAAATGAATGAAAATAATAAGATTGATGAATAATATGACATCGAAGAAATGAGTGTACCGTTAACAAAGAGGAAAGAGCAGATTTTTACAGATAATGAAAATCAAACAGGGCCAGTAACTGATATAATGACGTCAAGGTATGTTTCCACATGACGTCAATGACTTTTTCCCGCTGTATAATTATGTGTGACCATGCATTCGCACGTATAGCGGTCGGCGAGTGTATAAGGGGTTGGTGTGTTTATGTGCTAATTTGCATGTGTATGAGTGCACCTTTGTGTTTGTCTGTGTGAGTGTATGTGTGCATCTGAGAGACAGAGAGAGTGAGAGGATGAGACTAAGAGAGAGAGAGAGAGAGAGAGAGAGAGA